CTCTTAGAACCTGTTCTGGAGGTCAGTCACTTCAGGCTGCTCCAGACAAGGAGGAGAGCATCCCTGAGAGAGCCAGAAGGCACTTATGCTGTGGCAGCAGCCCTTCCCTCCTCTTCCCAGGGATATTTACTGGCTGCTCCTCACCCCACTGCGTAGAGGAAGTCTCAGCTCTGTCACGGTAGTCTAAGGCTGGCATTAGCAAAGAGCGCTTGTAGAGGACGGGAGAGCGAGCCAGCTTAGTAACTGGACATCCTCTAGCACAGGCCAGCTCGTCTGGTCATACCAGTTAAGTTTGACTCACAGTCTTTCTGCCTAGCTCAGAGGTGTGGAGGAAAGCCAGAATCATTGCAGTAGAAGCAGAATAAGCCCCTCTATTGCTCAGTGCAAACTTCACTGACAGTGGAAGACACTATCAAGGAAGCCACACCAGTGACTGGTGAGAGGCAGAGGTCTCCAGTAATAGATGAGGCCCTCCATTCACACATCCCAGGAAAATAAGCCCAGCCTGAAGACAGACATCAGCTTTCAACCCTGCTCCACTGCCACATCTCCGTGGCTTTGATAAAATAACCCTCACGTTGAAGCGGTAACACTGAGGAACCGGCACGTACCGTCTTGGCTGATGACCATGGACTCTAGCATCGTTTCGTTACCGCTGTCTGGTGCGTTGCCTCTGCTGGACTTCTCCTCATGGCTCTGGCTGGCTGGGATAGAAATATGGGGCCGGACCCTGCTTTTCCGGGTGCTGATGCGTATGATGCCTCGGACCAGCCTGCATTCAGCATCCTGCTCATCCAGGTTGTAGTCCTGAGTTATGCTATTGATGAGGTCCGAGATCTTGTTGGTCTTCTCCAGGAAGACAGTGTCTGAAGTGCACTTGGCCAGCTCATCGATCTGGTGGACGCTGAAGAGCTCTGTCAGTTTCTTGAAGATCAGGACGTCGATCTGCCTGCTGGACATGGAGCCGTTCAGCTCGCTGATGTCCAGGTCAGACTCGTGGAAGGAATAATATTCCTCCGAACTCCGGTGGCTGCTGGGGAGCGGTGGCTTTTCTATGCTGTTCCTGAAGGGCTTCTCTGGCAGTGGCTCTTTGCAGCATGAATCCGATTCCAGGTGGTGGCTGGGGCTCCTGTTTTGGTAGACGGGAATGCCCTTCAGTTTCACATCTGGGTAACTGAAACTACTCCCCATGCTGGACTTTTTGATCTGGTTCCCATTCTTCTCAGCGGGAGAGGTGTTGGCGGGGCTGTTTGGCAGTCGCCCGTTATAATCTCTGTTCTTTCCATCATCGGTGGAGGTCTCGGCAGGCCCCGTATAGGGGATACAGACACTGCAGTCCTGAAAGCAGCCCCCACAGGTCACTATACAACAGAAAACAGCCTTGTATGTGTTCCAGGCCTGAGACAGAGAGGAGCAGCAGAAGCTCTGGTTTGCAGGAGCCTCCGCTGTACCAGAAATAAAGGTAATTGTTTCTGCCTCTCTCCCATTAGAGTCTTTGAGGTCAGCTTTGCGACCTTTCCTATCCCGCACTTGCTGGGCTCTGGTGCAGCTCTGTTTGATTTCAGGCGTAGAGCCGCTGAACACCTCCAAACTAACATCTGTCTCCTGGGATGGTCTGGTCCGCAGGGGCACAGCCTCCTGGTAGGCCTGGTTCAGCTGGCGGTGGCTGTTCAGGTCGTGGGGGAGTCCTGTTTTCCGGCCCAGCATGGCTCCCCGCTCAGGCACCTGGAGAACAAGAGGGTCGCGAAGTCAAGCATTTGTCAGCAGTCTCACCTTAGCGAGCTGTTGATCAATAGAGAAGGACCTAACGTTCCAATTCAGGGAGTCTCAAATTCAACGTTTCAATTATTTACAGAAATATTTTGCATTAGGACTCGTGCTGTTGTCACTTGTCACATAGAGAGGGAATCCAGCCCATGTCTCGGGGTTCTCCGACCACTCCAGCTTTGCTGCTTCCTTTCAGTAGATGCTCGAATCAGAAGAGATACGTTTTAAAAGGACTATTTTTAAGAAATAAAAATCCCTGTAACCTTCAGAAGAGGTTTCCTCCACGCAGCTGGAAGACGAGTCAGGCTCCAGGGCCGTTGCTCCGGAGCAATAAATGAGCAGCATAGCTGTAGGTGGAGCCAGCTGACAGGCTCCAAAGGGAAAGTATCTTCTTTTAAACAACTTCCCCTTTGTCTTGCATTCCTTAGGATTAAGCTGGGCCCTGACAGTGCTTATCCCTTTCAAAACACACCGTGCCCAGGAGGAGATGACAAGCAATCAATCATTATGCAAGCTGCCAATTCAGACCCCAGATTATTCGACACTATTTAAATGCAGAGGATTTAGCCATGACGGCGTTGCTAACACTGATGATTTTTGCCAGTCATGCTAAGGCCATGTTATGTTAAAGACCTTCCTGTGAAAACCAATGTCTTCATCTGGATTAAAGAAAAGATCTTGTCAACAAGCCGGTCTCAAATCTGCGCCTCACGGGAGCAAAACCTTTACAAAGCCCTACTACAGAAATCCTACAGCAGACCATCGGCCCGACTGCTTTTCTCGTTGCCACTGTACTAACACAGCTGCCCCAGGCCTGCACCCCGGAGTAAACTGTTTTTACAGGGTACTACATCACACTTTAGCTCCACAAATCCACCGTGCAGAGTTTGGCACATTAAATCTCCCTGTTATGAAGAAAGCTTGGCAGTGGGCGATGGCGAGGAAAGCCGGGTCGAGGCTGTCTCTCCCCACTTCTGCTGCTGCTGCTTTTATCCCAGATGATGGTGGGTTTCTAAATTGTCCACGGTTTCTAAGCTCCTTGGCTAACACTGCTTTCACCCCCAAGAGATCCTTTTAAATACTAATTAGGCTAATTAATAAGCAGCGAGAGGCCAGCCATAGCTTAAGCATTTTTGGACTGTCCCTGCTGCTCTACTGTATACTTTCTATAGGGCACCTCAAGCATGAATAAATAAATCTGTTCTACCTTGTTAGAGCATTGCCTCTTTTTCCCTTTTTTAAAAACAAATGGTAATGTTGCCCCCACAAAGAAACAGGCGTAGACTGGAAACCAGGCCGTTCCAGCACACCACTGCTTTCCAGGAATATTTTGGCTCCATTAGCTTATAAAAATTCTAAGTAGTGCATGTCCCAGGAGCTCTCTTTGCACATTCCTGGACAATGTGTTAAATATAAAAGCCCCAGACGCTCCAGTTTCAGCGCCGAGCAGGCAGAGCTCCCTAGACTCAGCATCAGTGGAGAGTTTTGATTGCTTTCACTTCAGAACAACAGGGGCTTTTTTTTTCCCCTCAGCTTCATAATTTTTGTAATGCAGTTCAAAATTTAAAAACAAACCGAAAACATTTGAGCTGATCTAAGCACAGAACTGCTCACTGGGATATTTCTCTTAATACCGAGGCCTCATCAAGAGATCTAACGCGTGCACTGCACGGTAACAATTGTTTATGCAACAATGTATAATATTCTGAAATTTCAGAGCATTTTTGACATAGGGAAGAGCATTATCTCCACTCTACAGAAAAAGACCTGCAGGCTCAGAGATTAAACCGCCTGCCTGACATTGCACAAACCCCCAGCTGCGCCAGGGACACCTCTGGCCCCGCACACGGAGCTCGCCCCTCCCCATCACAGCCCACGTTTCTGCAATCACAGACCACACGTCCAGAGAGCTCCCTGGGAGGGTACGCAAGCCACAGCTCCTCAAACCAATGGCTTCTCTGGCACGAACCACAGACTGGACCAAAACCCACAGCCAGTGCCTTAACCCAGCCATAAAGAAAAGCTCAGACTAAAATCCACAGCCGAGCTGATACTCACAAGATCACTGGGAGCTTTCTCTGTTCTCACGTGCGTGAAGAGAGAAGATCCTTCTAAAGAACTTCAGCATCTGCTTCAGAAGGGCGAGGCGGGATTCACAGCTTGCGCATCTAAGAGTTAGCCAGGGTCTAAGATCTTCATTGTTCAGAGGACAGGATTTCCTTTGAAAGTTTTAAAAAAGCTAAAGTTAAGTTGTGAATCTACTTAATAAAGTCACATCTGTTTGGCAATAACCGTATTGCCACTGTTGTTAGAAGCTAGGGAAGTCAAAGCATGAACTTAAAAAGGGGCCAGAGGACCTAAATTCAGGACACAAGATTTACGCATAGCTACAACTTCTCTTAAATATATGGAAGCATCAATAGCTAAGTTTTCTAAGGAGCCTTGCCAGGAGCTGAAAGCCACCCCGGAAACCTCCTGGACTCCTGGCTGCTCTGCTGACACTGGGCAGCAACGGAGACCCTGGCACAGAATCACACGGATCCGGCATCTTCTCTGGGCTCCTGCATCCTCTCTCTCACCTACTTGGGACAGAACCAACCCGGCCAAGGAGCTGCCTCTCACCAACCGCATCCCTCTGCCCCTGGCCCAAAACACACCCTGTTCCAGCTGACAACCAGGACTCTGCCGTGGTGCAGGTAAACAACATTTGCCCCTTCCTTCTCACAAATGAAGCGCTGCAAGGAGGGAGACCCGCCTGGGCCCCTCTGCCTACCCCACACCCCCGGACGGTGAATTTTCGGGGGAAGAGAAGCTGGCAGCAGGGAACAGCCAGGTTCCAGCAGAGCTACCGAGCTGCCCAGCAAGGCCTCCCTGTTCCCCCAAGGCTCCCCACCCTGTTCCTCGCTCACTTCTTCAGCCCTCGAAAGCTGAACCGAGCCCGGCAGGGGCCTGGGAGCCCCGACACCCCCTCGGGGGGGCTCCTACCGGCACCAGTGCCCCAGGGCAAGGGCAGGGAAGGTCCCAGGGCAGCGGGAGGGTACAGAGCGGGGGGGACAACGACAGCACGGGGCCAGCTGCTGCCGGGGGGAGGAC